TGGGGCACTATGCAAAACAAGATTCAGAGTAGCCCTCTGGGAAGATATATCATTTAAGAATGTGTTTATGTGGGGCGCCTGGGTGGCTTAGTCGGTTAAGCGTCTGACTTTCGCTTAGGTCATGATCTCGCAGTTCTTGGGTTCGAGCCCCACGTCGGGCTCTGTGCTGACAGCCAGCTCAGAGCCTGGAGCCTGTTTCAGTCTGTGATTCCCTCTCTCTCTGACCCTCCCCTGCTCACGCTGTCTCTCTCTCTCTCCTAGAAATAAATAAAACATTAAAAAAAAAATTAAAAAAAAAAAAAAGAATGTGTTTATGTAACAAAACAATGAGGAACTTAAGCAGTAGTCACTTTTTTTGGAATAACATGAAATCCAAAAGTATACGTGTTGGTTCAAGTTGCTCAGTGATGCACTCATACCTTCCCATTCCACTGTCTGTGGCATGTTTCTAACAGCCTTATGATTGTTGTCTGAAGCTTATAAAAGGGCTGATAGAACATCAGATTTCAAGGCAGGATGAAAAGCTAGCTGTGCCGGCCACTTTTATCCCTGCTTTAGGAAAGCTAAAGATTTCTCGGAATCCCTCCTAGCCAACTTTCATTTAAGTCTCGTTGTCAAGAACTGTGGCTCATGTCCATCTTCAGCTGCAAGAGAGGCTAGGAAAGTGATTATATAGCTTTTACAGTCAAGAAAATGGAGTTAGCCAAGGAAGAAAGTTGAGACTGGATATTGGGGCAGTCAGCTTAAAAGATTTGTCACAGCGGTGCCTGGGTGGCTCAGTTGGTTAAGCACCGACTCTTGGTTTTGGCTCAGGTCATAAGCTCACGATTTGTGGGTTTGAGCCCTGCATCAGGCTCTGCAGTTGGCAGTGCTCGCTCTCTCCCTCTCTGCCCCTCCCTTGCTTGTGCTGTCTGTCTCTCAAACTTAAAAAAAAAAAAAAAAAGATTTGTCGCAGAAAGATGACCAGAGGCTAAACTTAAAATTAATTTGGTAATAGGGATTGTCAGAAAAGGTTTTTAGGGCTCTTTTCTGTAATGGTGTATTGCTTTTTCTTCATATTGTTGCGACCAGTGCATAACTGAACATTTCTTTTGCCAATCAAGTGAAATATAGAATCTTTTCTAATGAGCAAGACTGATCACTTATATGTTGAAATGCCATTTGTATTTATTTCAGTGAGTTATGTTCATATCCTTTATTATTATCAATAGTATACATAATGTAAAGAGCCAGCTAGTTTTATTTTATTTTAATGTTTTTATTTATTTCTGAGAGAGAGAGAGACAGTGTGAGCAGGGGAGGGTCAGAGAGAGAGGGAGACACAGAATCTGAAACAGGCTCCAGGCTCTGAGCTAGCTGCCACCAACTGTGAGATCATGACCTGAGCTAAAGTTGAACACTTAACCGACTGAGCCACCCAGGCGCCCCAGAGCCAGCTAGTTTTAATAGTTGCTTGGCTTTTTGTTTTTGTTTTTCTTTTAGGCATTAACTTCCATCTGTCCAAGAGGATGATATAGTTTTCCTTCCTTTACCCCTCAATGTATGCTTCCTGTCTTCCCTCCTACCAATATATTTTATAACTATTAATCAGTATTCAGAATTCACATTCCTATCCTATATTCCATTCATAGCTGAACCATACAGTACTTTGCTACCAAAAGTGTGGTCAGGGGTCCAACTGCACTGGTCTCCCCTCGGTAATTGTGAGAAATACAGAATCTTTGGCCCCAGCCCAGAATTTAAAAGATCCCCAAGGGATTCCTATGCTGCACATTAGAGTGAGAAACTGAAGGATGCTATTGTTATTTTTGTTTGGATTTGTGTTTTCCACAGAGCAAATTATTTTTTTATTTGCTTAGTTTTTTGAATATTTATCACTAACTCGACCACATACTATCAGCTGTCAAAATAATCCTTTTAAAGAGTTTTTCATATCAGTTTAATTTCATCTTTTTAAAGAAGTCACTTCTAGAGCCTGGTACTTGGTTCTAATCTCTACTGGTCACCCTTTAGGCCTAGTGCACAGCTTCACTCTGGGTTCTCTCTTCACCGTCATCCAGATTGTCTTGCTCCACTGCTTTGCTGTTTTAGATATCCTGTATTATGGAATCTTGTGCATTCTGTCTTGGGTTACGTCCTTGTTTGCAGCCCATCTTAAGGATTTTTCTGGGGAAAATGCAAGGGGGTTGGTGAATGTTCTTACACTTTGCATGTCTGAAAGTGTCATCATTCTACCCTCACACAGTTTGTCAGAGTATAGAGTTAGATTTGAAAGTCATTTTATTTCAGAAGTTCAAGGACATTGCTTCGTGGTCTGACTAATGTTACAGCTGAAGGGAAGTCCAAGCCACTCTATTATTATTATTTTTTTAATGTTTTTGTTTATGTCTGAGAGAGAGACAGCGTGAGCAGGGGAGGGTCAGAGAGAGAGGGAGACACAGAATCCGAAGCAGACTCCAGGCTCTGAGCTGTCAGCACAGAACCCGACGTGGGGCTTGAACCCATGAACCATGTGATCATGACCTGAGCCGAAGTCGGTCGCTTAACTGACTGAGCCACCCAGGTGCCCCTAAGCCATTCTAGTTAATGATATTCTGTGACTCACATTTTTCTTGTTGAAGCTCACAAAATTTACCTATTCTAAAATACCATAGTAGTGTTCTTTGGACTTTTTTGTATATTGTGCTGGGTACCTAATGGGTCTTTCAATCTGGAAACCAGTGTTCTTCAGTTCTGGGAATTTTCTTGAAAATAATATTGATGGAACTCCTTTCTGATCTTGGAACTCCTTATTTGGATATTAGATGTGCTGGACTAGTTCTCAAATTTTCTCATCTTTTTTCCCCTCTTATTTCCATTTCTTTGCCTTTATATTCTATTTCTAATTCTATTTCCTAGAATTCCTCAGCTCTGTCTTCCAACCCCTTTATTGAGCTGTTCATTTTTCTTGTATTTTCAACTACTCCAAGCTCTTTTGTCATCTGAATATTTCCTTTTTTTAGCATTTTGTTCTTTATTTATGGGTGTAATTCTTATTTCTCTGGGGGCATGCTTTATATTCCTTTGTTTTCAGTTTCCTTTTTGTTGTTGGTGGTGGTTTTTATTTTCATCCCTGTCATACTAAGTGACTTTCCTTAGATTGATGGTGGGGGGAGGGAGTTGTTGGTTTTTTAGATTGATGGGTTTTTGATTGAAAAACCAAAAAGCTGATTGGAAGTTCTGAGCACAGAAAGAAAGGTCTGCAGACTGAATTTTGCTATAAGGATATCGGAGTCAGATGTTTCTTTAGGGGAAATTTCCAAGATCCGCAGTGTTTTTCTTAGACCTGTCCCCTAGAGTCCCAACACATTCCCAGGAGGACAAAGGCCTGGGCACCCAGTGGGAGAAGTTGGGAGTGGGGGAAATGGGTCTTAGCGTTGAGTCTCTCAATCCTGTTTCTATTACAACTTCTCTCACTTAACTCTGCCTGTGTTCTCCCCACTCCAAAGATACTCTATCCATGGAGGACAAACTGCCAGTCTTTTGCCTGGAAGAGGATAAAGTATTTCTTTCTCCATTCAAAAAAATTTTTTTTAGTTCCCTCCCAACATTAAGGTTGCTCTTTGCAGTTACTTTGATTTTAGGGGTGACTTTATAATGAAAAAGAAAATACTTATTTTGAGAGAGTACAAGCAGGGGAGGGTCAGAGAGAGATGGGGAGAGAGAGAATCCCAAGCAGGCTCTGCATTGTCAACACAGAGCCTGATGCAGGGCTTGAACCTGCAAACTGCAAGATCATGACCTGAGCCAAAATCCAAAAGTCAGGCACTTAATAAGACAGCCACCCAGGTGCCCCTATAATGAAAAAATAATTTTAATGTTTGTTTATTTTGAGAGAGAGACCAAGTGCAAGTGGGGGAGGGACAGAGAGAGGGAGAGAGAATCCCAAGCAGGCTTCATGCTCCCAGTTTAGAGCAGGATGCAGGGCTCGATCTCACCAACTGTGAGATCTTGACCTGAGCTGAAATAAAAAATCAGATGCTTAATCAACTGAGCCACACAGGCACCCTGTAGTGAAATGTCTATACCAAAGAGATTAGGTGTGGCAGGCAGAATAATGTGTTGTCCCTCCCCTGCCCCCCCCAAAAAAACCTTTGTGAATATCACTTTATATGACAAAAGGCCATGCAGATGTGATTAGGAATCGTCAGCTGGAGAAAGTAGTGGTTATCCAGGTGGACCCATTGTAATCCAGGTGGATCCTTAATAAAAGGGAAGCAGAAGCTCGAGTGCTAAGGGGCCACAAGTCAGTGAATGCAAGCGGCGTCTAGCTGAAAGCAGCAAGGAAATGGATTCTCCCCGGGTCTCCAGAGGAATGCAGGCCCTTTTGGATGTCTGATCTCCAGAACTGTAAGCTACTAAATTTTTTGAGCCTCTAAATTTGTGGCAATATGTTATAGCAACATTAGGAAACACACCTGGTGAACTAATGTTAGAGAAGACAAACTGTCTCCAGACCTTGGGATTCTTGACTTCAGTATGGTTTCTACAAGTTCTCAACACTGGTTACATAGTAGAATCACCCTACAGTTTTAAAAGCATACTGGTACCTGGGTACCACATTAATGTTAGAATTTCTGGTAGTGGAGGCAGATCCCAACATTTTTGGAAAGCTTCTCAGGTGATTGTAATACGCAGCCAGATCTAAAAACCGCGTTATACTAAGTGTAAAGGTAGTGTTTATCTAACCCAATGGTTTTATCTCAAAGTGTTGCTCCTGGATCATCAGCATCACCTGGGGATTTACTGGAACTGCAGATTTTTCAGTCCCACCCCAGACCTACTGAATCAGAAACTCTGGATGGGACCAGCAATCTGTTAGAACAATCCCCTCCTCTGCAGAGAAATTCCAATGCACACTGAAGTTTGAAAACCATTGATCTAACCAAAGAACCTCCTTATTGCTCTTAATATTCCATGAGATGTATATTATAAAGAGATTTCATAAGCCAATATTGTAATAAAGAGCCAGAAAAGATTTAATTAAGGTCATTCTCAAACATTTCCTATTGTACTACATAGAACTTAATATCTGATGGCTAAGGATGTGAACTCTTACTCTAGACATCATGATTCTAGATATACAGAAATGTAAAAGCAGTGGTAGAAGACAAAGTTGACCGAAGCATGCCTCCAGAAGCAGACATTTTAAATAAAATTCTCAAGTTCCTCATTACTCGGTCTCTCCTTAAGTACAGAGTAATTTGCAGGCACATGCAAGAAAATATACTTAACAGGCAACCAACTTCTAGGAGCCTGTGTGTAACACAATATGTGGTAGAAAGCAGCTTAGGTTTCCTTTAAATCTAGTGCTAATTGCTAGAAGCGTTTCAGGGTTGTTTTCCTTGGGGGGTTTTTCCTCTGACACAAAGTAACCACCAGGGGAAGATTATAGGCCAGGTGAAGAATGAGGTTAATAAAAAGCAGTGTTTAAGGTTCATTTACCTTTATTTACTTCAGATATTGCTTAAATGATTCTAGATTTTTTTTAAAGACCCAGAAAATAAAATGAAGCATAACAGTGAGATAACAGAATTTTATTTACATCCATTTCCATTTAATATATCACATCTTCAGGATGGGTGATAACTTATTGAAAGGCTATGCTCATTTTCTTCAGGCTATGGATAGAAAACTCTCCCAGAGTAGCAATAACTGTTGATCTGAAAGCTTTCAAATAAGGGAAGAACTGTTGGGGAGATTGTTTGATTTTTACCCCTGAAACACCATTCATGTATATATAAATGCTTGTTTTCTAACTAGACACAGGCTCAGTTAATTTTTCAATTCTTCAGATACTCTAGCCATGGTGATATGTTATTTGGGAAATCTAAACAGACACAATTGCTCAACTCATTAACTTCTGTCATTAATATGTACACTTTCACTGCCAAAAAGAGTAACATAAATTTCTTACAGAATGCACTGCAGGAAGAAGCTGTAAGAACAAAATAATTGCATTTAGAATATATTTTCTTACTCTAGCAGTTTTTAAACTGGTATCAGCTTGTAAGTTGTTATGAGCAATAGTAACTTTTATGCTACCCGCTCTTGCCTGATATTTTATATTACTGAAAGTTAATATTCTACATGCTGACGACCTGATTATATATTCTGTATGCTAGAAGTTACTGCTTTTCATTCTTCTGCCACCAAGAAAAGTGTACTTTATTATGGGGAAAGGAATTTAAGTACTCCTGGAGGAACTGTTTTAAAATCAAGGCTTGATTTTCTCCCAATAATTAATTGCTTGTTTTCTAAGGTTTTTTCCCCCTTTAAGGTAAGTTTAATAAGATGCCTTATGATTACCACTGTCTTGCCAGAAAAATATAAATACCCTGATCCATATTACAATATTTAGGTGATATTGTCCCTAATTTTGGTATCTGATATTTTTTACATCATGAGATTTCATTATGATCTTACCCATTATCCAAAGGAGAACTAATCATCTCCTTTTTGTCTTAAAAAGTATTTTACAGATGGGAAAAACAAACTTGTTAGTTTTGGTATACTTGGTTTGTTTGGTCAGTGTCGTCTAACTCAGAAGGATGGTTGGTTTTTCTAGTCAAACGAGTTAAAGTTCCTATAAGCTGGCTGATCAAACTGGAAAGCTATGTTAACTTTTTGTTCTGTACGTAAACTATGTAGTTACCTGCAGTTTATCAAAACAGAGTATAAAGATGAAGGCATTTAAATGGACCACAAATTATTCTGACTTGTAAACTAGGGAGGCCTCTTGCATTAGACCTTAAAGGCCAGAGAAAGAAGGTGAAAGCAGCTTGACTTCACTGCCAACTGGATTATAGGTTATATCATCCTTTCATTCTCCCAGCCTTGCTCTCAGAGCCTGGTGTCATCATTAGCATGTAGCTGCTAATCATATAAACAAGAACATAATGTAATCGGAGATGGGAAAGTCTAGAGGTTCCTTAGGCTAGTTAAAAAAAAAAAAAAAAGACTAGGAAAGAAAACAAACCAACATGTTAATCAGCTTTGAAGGAGAAATCATAGATGGTTTCCATTATAGCATCTTAAAAACAGACAAATCTAAAGTTTGTAATCATATTTTTTAAGGCCATAAGACATTATTACTAGTTCTAGAGGGAGTTGGGAGCTGTGTATTACTCGTGTGTGTGTGTACGTTTCCCCATCTATCACCAAAGTGACTGCTTTACACAGCTATTCTGGTATTCAGCTGCTACAGTGAAAACCACCAGGCCAGCCCCTACCCAACCTCATTTGTCACCTAACTATTCATTGGATATATCAGTATTTGTTTTTTTTTTAACTTTCTGAAGTATTACTTAACACATCACACCAGCCCACTGGAAACCAGCTTTTGGCAGGCGCTCCCTATGAGCATTAAACATGTCACAGTCAGACAGTAACATTTCCCTACACGTATGTATGCACAAATACATTAAAAACATTTAGTACAAAATTGTACATAACCTGAAGTAGAATCTTAAAGGGTATCCTAAAATAGAAGTACAGAGAAAATGCATGCAGAGAGAGGCTGTTGAAGTACAAAGCCTGTGGGATATAGAATTTCAAGTTTCTATTTCCTGCAGGCTGATAACATACATCTTTTCCTACCCAGAGGCAAAATATATTTTCTAAAAATTTGGACGCTGCCCATTGCATTAAATTTAAATGCCCCCTATGTATATAGACAGTAAAAGCAAAGAAAAAAAAAACACATTCCTTTTTTTAATATATCAAAAATGTTTCAAGGCAACATTATTAAAATGATTATACCACAGTCCCTAATATGACATCAAGCGCTAATAGGAAGGTACAGAGAGGGCAGAAAGGTCTCATCCAGTCAGGGGTTTAGGTGCTCTTTTTTTCTTCACCGAGTAAATTCACTGCTGCTTTCTTGGCTGTCGGGAGGAAAGAAAATTATGTCAAGACTATCTGCAATGCCAGCTCTGTGCCTAATGTACTGACAAGATAGCAACTTGGATGGCTCATACTCAGATGAGAACACACTGAGGTCTGCAGCAGGGCTGAGAGTTTCCAGGAAGTGGACAAGACAGACCTCTTCAGAGCAAGATCCCGAGTACCCCAGCAGAGCTCTTCAAGGCCATCTAGCCTAACCTCCCACAGTAACCGTGTCCTCTACGTCCTCCTCCATGTTGTCACAAGAAGCAGGGACTCCCTGGGCATGTAATGCTCCTCTGCACAAGCAAGAAATTCTTGTTTGGGTCTGGGTGCTCACCTGTTTAATTTGACTATGTCTCAGTCTGATGACAACTAGGTCCTCCATCCCATGGTGACAAAAAAAAAAAAAAATCAGAGTGTCCTTCTTCCTACACCTCAGAAATGGAAGTATTTATACACCTTTATATTATCTTCATTGTGCTACCATTTCCCTCTAAGTGTTTGAGTTAGTGGCAATATACTACATTCACCAAGAAAATATTCTTATATCTATAGGAGATAAACTTTCCTCTTCCTAATTACCAAGCGACTTGAAATGTGCTAGAAGAACTAGTGTGGTGTGTGAGATGGAGGGGGGTGGGGGGGAGATGTTACAGAAGCTTCTAGGGCCTCCTGGAAGAATCTGCAAAGCACACCTGTTTTTGATGGGGCCGAGTCAAGCACTACCAGTCCCTACCTATTCACTAGCTGCCTGAGAGCTGTTCTCCCTTTGCTTAAAGTTGCTGAACAAAGTTAACAAGAAATTGTAGCCTCTCTCTTAACTAGCCCATTATAAAAATTTACTTCCTGTAGAATCCAGAAGTTTTGAAGAAAAGTCTAAAATGGGTCAGCATGTAAGTCCCTCCTAACTTATTTTCATTCTTATACTCCTGCTTAGCAATGTGTCCTATCAAAGTAAAATTGGATTTTAGAGTACTGACATCTAAGAGAACTGAGGGACTAAGAAATGTGAGTGAACTAGACGGAAGTGACATCACCAGAGGCTGCTGGTTAGGCCAAGGCAAGGAACAGGAAGGAAATTTCTTAAAAGGATACTGGCAATCCCCAGGTGGGAGGACATGAAGGCTACAAGTCAGAAAACACTTAAAAACGGGGGGAAGGAGTGCAAGTAGGCTGGCGCGGTGTGCCTGGGAGAGGAGTCCAGTGGAGAGAGGGTGTGTGGGGACAACAAGGAGAACGCACCCGAGCTGCTGGAGAGCTGCCCCGGGGATCTCACTTGCCCAGTGGTCAGCTCGATCCTCCTCTCCCACTTTCTAATTACCACCGAGCTCTCAAAACAAAATGGTAAATCTTCATCCCTCGCTACTTCTGTCCAATTTCTAAAACCCTTCCTGTGCCCTCTAGAACTCAAGACCCAGTCATCGGCAAAACCTCCTCTATCTCCATCCAGATCTCCGAAAATTTTCTTTCACCTTCTTGCCTTTACAGAAATCAGGCTGTTCCCTGAGGACACTGCTGTCTCAGGCGGTGGCTATTTTTTCTTTCTTCCTTGACCCTAGTACGCGCAGGTCTGGAGGGTTTGGTAAGCAGTCTTTGTTCTTCATTGCCACGTTCAGAATCTCATGGCATCAGATTATATACGCCACCAGCCTTTCTTTTTCCAGTCACCTCAGACCCTTGGGCTGTGCTGCGTCATTCTTTTAAGATTTCCAAATTTAGTTATTGGCGACTTCAGTATTTTTCCAGTATCCTGGCGTCTCAGCCGCCCCCTCCAGTAACCTTTACGCTCCATCCTACCGATCCCCTCCTCTTTCCTGACCCCAGGCACTCACTCCACGATCCTCATCACTACCTGTGGCCACAGTCCCTCTATAGTCTCAGTGTCCAGCATCCCCTCTCCCCTACCACACCCAGCTGTGCAGCACACGCCCTCTGTTCTCCTGATTCAGAGTCCTCCCCGCCACCTTTTCCACCGTCCCTTCCCTCCTCGGCCAGCTGAAGTTCCAACATCAGACACTAAGCGCTCCCTGGTCCCTCTCTCACTTCACGGTTCTTTACGCAGTCAGCCTTGGCATAGGTCCCCACTGGCTCTGCAGCTGCAGAGCTAAGTGTGTCACTTGACCTCACTTTAAGTCCACCAACACAACCTCAAGTGAGCCTCTACTACTCCTGACAGTCACGTGGCACTGCCCCGGTCGGTCCGCTCTCCCAAGGTCCTGAAGCGACCAGCAACCGACAGTCACGCTCACTGGTTACTCGTCTGCGCTGCTTTCACACTAGTGTAGCAGAACTGAGTAGTTCCAAGCCAGAGCTGATGGCTCACAGAAATAACATTTATTATCCAACCCTTCACAGAAAAAGTCTGCTGACCCCAGTCCTAGGTACCTATTCCATACCATCTTGTCCTTCTGTCACCATCTTCCCCATCCTCTCTCCACCTACTTCACTGAGAAATGTGGAGTAGCGGGAAAGTCCCTTCTGTAGGCGCCCACCACCACAGGCACTCACCTGCCAGCGTCTCTACTCGTGTTCTCAACTACTGTGCCCCGTGACCAGTCCTGTTCCTACTCTGGTTCCCGTCGCCTCTGGTCTAATTGGAGATGGAGCTCCAGCAGCTCTCTCCTCACTCACACCCACTTTTTGCTCTCTGCTGGATCATTCCCACTACTTTTCAGACATACTTTGTTCCTTCTACTTTCAGAAAAAGAAATAAACTACATCCCTAGGACCCTAGTTCTTTCTTCCAGGTGCAGCCCCGTTCTTCTCTTTTTTGCAGGAAATTTCCCAAAAGACTTCCCTACATTCTCTCAGCCTTGCTTCCCATCTCTCCAATTCATTCCAATCAGCATGTGGGTCCCACCACTCCACAAACTATGTTGTCAAGATCACCAGTGCCTTCACTGCCAAGTGTAATGGTCAGTTTTCAGTCGTTACCTAACTTGACCTGTGTCTGCAGCAGGTGACCCAATGGGAGTGGTAGTGTCCACTCTTTGAAACACTTTATTTGGCCCCAATGACACCAGTCACATGGTTTTCTTGCTACCACAACTGGCTGCTCCTTATCAGTCCACTCTTGTCAGTTGCTTCTCATCTCCCCAGTCTCAAAACATTGGGAGCCACCACCTCAGACCTTATATTTCTAACTACATTCACTTGCTTAATGATCTCATCTGGTCCCATGATCACTATCCTGCTGGTGACCCCCAAATGTATTATTTCTAGCCCAAACCTGTCTCCTGAACTCTCAACATATATGTCCAACTGGCTGCCTGACTACTCTAGGTACCTAATAGACCTAGAAACCATAGAGACCATAACCTCAAAGTTATGTCCAGAACCGAATTCCTTATTTTCCCCTCTAAACCTGCTGTATCTAGTCTTCCCCAGCTCCACACCAATTCTGTCCTTCCATGTGTTCTGGCTGAAGAGCTTGGCTTCATGCTGATTCCTCTCTTGTGCTCCATGCCTGAACCATAAGCAAATCCTATTCGTTCTACCTTCAAAATGTATCAAGAATCCTGAGGCTCCTTGGTGACTCCGTCGGTTAAGGATCCGACTCCTGATTTCAGCTCAGGTCATGATCTCATGGTTTGTGGGATCAAGCCCTGCAACAGGCTCTGTGCTGACAGTGCAGAGCCTGCCTGGGATTCTCTCTATCACTCGCTCTCTGCCCCTACCCTGCACTCTCAACAATAAATAAACATTAAAAGTATACATATCAAGAATCTAACGACTTCTTGCCCCCTACTGCTGCTACTATGAGCCAAGCCACCATCGTCCTCTCCAGCCAGATCCCTGCAAGCGCCTTGTTTCTTCTTGGTCTCCCGGTTTCTTCCCCCTCCCCCTTCAGTCTACTCTCAGCACTGCAGCCTGTTAAACACAGGATGAATCACGTTGCTCTTCTCAAAACTGTCCAGCAGCACCCCATCTCCCAGAGTTAAGCCAAAGCCTCTACAAAAGCCTGTAAGACCTTACCTTATCTGTATCCTTCCAGCCGCCACTCCCCAACCTCTCTGACCTTATCTCCTTCTCTTCCTCTAGATCCATCCCTTCCAGCCATACTGCTGTTGCCTCCAGTTTAAACAGTTCTTTCTATCAGGAGCATTCTTCCCCATGGTTTCTTTCAAGTCTGTTTCAGAATAGTCTTCTTGATGAGGATTCCCTAAATCACTCTATTTAAAATTGTATCTTTCCCTCAGCCCCTGATATTCCCTGTCTACCTATCTGCTTTATTTTTCTCTATATCATCTAACTATATAACTTTAAATTTTTACTGTCTATTTCAACAAGAGTGTAAGCTACATGCGTTCAAGGAGTATGGTCTGTTTGGTTCATTGGTTCATCCCCAGTGCTATGTACGTGCTTGGCACAGATTAAGCACCTCAGGAAATAAATACTTGTTGAATGAATGAATCAGAACTTAAAGGGCATTCTCTTGACCTCTAACAAAAGCAAATTTGAAACAGTTCAACCTGTAATGAATTAAAAAGATTCTACTTATATGTAAACACAGATGATTCTCTAAAATCTCTGCCCACCACAGGAAAGTCATTTGTCCTAATGTGCTGACTAAACACTGCATCAAATGTGGGATGGTGGGAGAATCTTGGGAAAAGTAAAGGGCAACGGGCTAAGTGTTGGTAAAGAAAGCCCAGAGTAGCCTTGGCATTTGGCTGAGGAAAGCTGATAGGAAAGAAGAGAAGCAGCTTGATATTTGGGCCCAGTGCCTCTCGTGTCCTCTCACCTGCTGAACTCAGCTGCCCCTGAGTCTTACCTTCTTTAGTGATGGTATCTACGGTCTCTTTGGCTTTGTCCTTCAAGTCATTCACCATAGTGTCCACCTGGGACTCATGCTTCAGGAAGAAAGGATGGATGACACGCTTGTACAGCAGTTCCGCCCCGTTCGAAGGGCTCGGGGCCATGCACCACAACAGGAAGCCACACTGCATAAATGAGAGCCAGCAGGTTAGGGACGGCAGTGGGCATCCTGACAACACACACTGCTGCTGCCTCGGCTGTGTTCTCCAATAGCATTTCCAGTGTTCTTGGCAGGGTTCAAGTGCCCTTTTTTTGATGGAAGAAGAAACACCTGACAAATAATGACCTAGTAACGCTGAAACTGAAAAAAGAAAGGTAAAACACACCAAATCCGACATCCTAACTTCCTTCCTAACTTGGATCACTTTTTAGTTTATAGCTGCAAGAAGTTCTATTAATCATAACTCTTAAAACTCAATTTAAGAAACACAGTACTTAACTGCATGTATAAAGAAAACTCGGTCTAGGGGTGCACAGTCAGTTAAGTGACTGACTCTTTTCAGCTCAGGTCATGATCTCACGGTTTCTTGGGTTCCAGTCCCACATCAGGCTCTGCACGCTGGCCACATGTGGCGCCTGCCTGGGATTCTCTCTCTCTGCCCCTCCCCCGCTTACACTCCGTCTGTCTCAAAACAAAAACAGAAACAGAAGAAAGGAAAAAAGCTCTGTCTAGATGAGCCCGCAAGGCTTGTTCTCCGCAGGCTTACCCCAGTAGGTCTGTCACGTGTATTCTTCCTGTTTAGACACAACACCCTGGCCGTCTTTTGAGTTTTTCCCTTAGCAGAATCTCAGTTTTTGGTAGTTTTTGCCTTTAGGGAATCTTTACAATCAGCTGTTCATTATCTTCCACTTTGTAGATATCATTCCTAACTCCTATGGCTCTACTTTGCCATTGAAATAAAAACGAGACCAGAATTATGCCCTAAAAACTTTAAGAACAAGAATTGTCACTATATATATATATATACCCAAAAAAGTCTTACTGTTTATTCAAATGACAACAGCTCATTCTCATCTAAGACCCTGTAAAAAAAGAGCATATATACAGTGACATGCTCTTTTTCCCAGAAAGTTCAATAAATAGGGGCGCCTGGGTGGCTTAGTCAGTTAAGCGTCCGACTTTCGCTTAGGTCATGATCTCGTGGTTTGTGGGTTCGAGCCCCGCATCGGGCTCTGTGCTGACTGCCAGCTCAGAGCCTGGAGCCAGTTTCAGTCTGTGACTCCCTCTCTCTCTGACCCTCCCCTGCTCATGCTGTCTCTCTCTCTCTCTCTCTCTCCTAGAAATAAATAAAACATTAAAAAAATTACTAAAAAAAAAAAAAGTTCAATAAATAGCCTACTGGGTTCTCTTAGGGTGAAAGATTCCAACTATACTATATTCCAGACAGCGTAGGTGATATAAAAAATGAAGTCCTTTCTTGAGATTCTAAATCGGTACATTTTATAACTTCTCCTTAAAAAAAAAACAAAACAAACAAACAAAAAAAACGCTCTCACCTCTTCTGTTGTCCATTAAACTCTACAGCCTTAGTCCCTGTTATTCCAAACCAAAGAATGTATTCAAATAACCAAGAAGCTACAATGCTTTTCTAAGATAGTCTTTTGCGTTTGATCTAGAGCTAAAAAGCTGGTGAGGGACTAAGCCAGTAACTAAACTTTGGGTTTAAAATGCATATATTTGTGCCCCAAAGCTCACTCCATCAGTACCATGGTGGCTCTGAGAAATTTATATTGTATTTGTATAACATTCAAAATACAAAGCAAAACACAGGTTCTCAACAGATTACTCTCTCTGGATTATCTGAACTATATAACTCTCGAAAAGTAACATTCACAAACTAGAATTTGTTAGGCACAGGAGAGCAGGGGGCTAGCTATCAAAAGACAGGCTATGAGACTGGACCAAAAAAAAAAAAAATACAGTAAAGCTATATGCTTCTTATAAGAAACACACCTAAGACAAAACCAACTAGGAACACTGAAAATAAAGGAGTTGAAAGAGGGGCGCCTGGGTAGATCAGTTGGTTAAGCGTCCAGACTCTTGATTTCAGTTCAGGTCATGATCTCACAGTTTGTGGGATCGAGCACTATGTTGGGATCCATACTGACAGCACAGAGCTTGTTTGGGATTATCTTTCTCTGACCCTCCCCAGCTCCCGCTCCCTCGCTTCTCTCTCTCTCTCAAAATAAATAACTTTAAAAAAATAGATTGAAAAAGGTGTATCAGACACCAACTCTCAGAACAGCTTGTATAGTAATATTAACCATACATAAATATTATGTAAGGCAAAATAAGTAAACCATGATAAAGAAGGAAAACAATCTACCAAGTAGATTCATGTAAACCTACATATCTTTGACAATGTAAACTATATAGTTTTGTACATACGTATGTAATTATATAAAAAGTCAGAATTTTATAAATGGAGAAATTCCACACTCCTAGATTTTTAACACTTCCACCAGAAATTGATATATCAAACAAACTAGAAACTAGTAAGAATACAGAACATGGAATACAAAATTTAAAATCTTGATCTAAAGATATCCATCTCTCTCCACCTAACAAATTGATTTTAAGGGAGTCAGGGGCACCTGGGTGGCTCAGTCGATTGTGTGTCCGACTTTGGCTCAGGTCATGATCTTGCGGTTCATGAATTCGTGCCCCACATTGGGCTCTGTGCTGACAGCTGGGAGCCTGGAGCCTGCTTCGGATTCTGTATCTCCCTCTCTCTGCTCCTCCCCCCTTCAAACTCTGTCTCTCTCTCTCAAAAATAAATAAGCATTGAAAAAAAAACTGTATGGCCAATTAATTTTTGAAAAAGCAGGAAAGAGTATCCAGTGGAAAAAAGACAGCCTCTTTAACAGATGGTGCTAGGAGAACTGGAGAGCAACATGCAAAAGAATAAAACTAGACCACTTTCTTACAACTCAAAATGGATGAAGGACCTGAATGGGAGACAGGAAACCATCAAAACCCTAGAGGAGAAAGCAAGAAACAACCTCCTTGACCTCAGCCGCAGCAATTTCTTACTCAACACATCTCCAGAGGCAAGGGAATTGAGCAAAAATGAACTATTGGGATAAAAATCTTCTGTACGGCAAAGGAAACAATCAACAAAACTAATAGGCAACTGACGGAATGGGAAAAGATAGTTGCAAATGACATATGGGATAAAGGGCTAGTATCCAAAACCTATAAGGAATTCACCAAACTCCACACCTGAAAAACAAATAAGCCAGTGAAGAAATGGGCAGAAGACAGGAACAGACACTTCTCCAAAGAAGACATCCAGATGGCCAACAGACATGAAACGATGCTCAGCATCCCTCATCATCAGGGAAATACAAACCTAAACCACACTGAGATACCACCTCATGCCAGTCAGAGTGGCTAAAATGAACAAATCAGGAGACTCTAGATGCTGGCAAGGATGTGGAGAAACGGGCACCCTCCTACACTGTTTGTGGGAATGTAAACTGGTGCAGCCGCTCTGGAAAACTGGAGGTTCCTCAAAAAATTAATAATAGAACTGACTCAGCAATAGCACTGCTAGGAATTTACCCAAGGGATACAGGAGTGCTGATGCAGAGGGGCACATGTACCCCAATGTTCATAGCAGCACTGTCAACAATAGCCAAAACATGGAAAGAGCCTAAGTGTCCATCAACAGACGAATGGATCAAGAAGATGTGGTTTATCTATACTATGGAATACTACATGGCAATGAGAAAGAATGAAATCTGGCCTTTTGTAGCAAAGTGGATGGAACTCGAGGGTGTTATGCTGAGTGAAATAAGTCAGGCAGAGAAAGACAGATACCATGTTTTCACTCATATGTGGAACTCTCAGGAGAAACTTAACAGAGGACCATAGGGGAGGGGAAGGGGAAAAAATAGTTAAGGAGAGAGAGGGAGACAAACCATAAGAGTCTCTTAAATACTGAGAACAAACTGAGGGTTGATGGGGGTGGGGGAGAAGGGAAAATAAGTGATGGGTATGGAGGAGGGCACTTGTTGGGGTGAGCACTGGGTATTATATGGAAACCAACTTGCCAATAAAAAGAAAAAGAGTTATATATTATAGCGGATAGAGGTTAAAAGAATGGTCTCAAGAGATACTGGGCTCTAATCCTGGTTCTGCAACTTACCAGCGAAGCAAACCTTGTATATGTTACTTAATTGCCTAAGTCTGTATAGACTCTAAAAAGATATTAACTGAAATTTTTTAAAAATCTACCTCACATAGATTTTGTGAGAAAGTAAGAAACATCTGGAACATCTAGGAGAGCTGGGACTTTGTCTCTGTTCTAACAATATTGTCTTCCACCAACAGCCATGAAACAGTAATAGGCTAACTGATAATCTTTAAATGGGGTAATTACAATCAAATCTCAGAACCCATATATACCCTTTTTAAACAATTATTTTGTAACTCTTTTAGTACCTGAAATAAAATAATGGTACACCTACACATATAATTACCAAAAAAAGGAAAATTAAGAAGTTCTCTAACTACTATAATATACAGGAAAAATAAAATGGAAGTAATTTATCACAAACAATATATATTTTCAGGGCACCTGGGTGGCTCAGTCAGTTAAGCATCTGACTTTGGCTCAGGTCATCATGATCTCAGTTCATGGGTTTGAGCCCCACTTCGGACTCTGTGCTGACAGCTCAGAGCCTGGAGCCTGCTTCAGATTGTCTCCCTCTCTCTCTGCCCCTCCCCTGCTCACGCTCTGTCTTTCTCTCTCTCAAAAAATAAGCATTAAATATATATATATATTTTCTCAACATGTAAATCTTCAAGCCAAACTATACTAGACAATACCATAAAATACTCCTAAGTAGAATCAGTGACTATTAACAGCTACAAACAAAATTTTCTCCAAATATTTCCAAAAGGTTGGTAATTTCTCAACTGGAGGGACTACAAAGGCTGCTTCCCATATCTGAACACTTAACCAAAGGCAATTCCCTGTCGTAATCCCCAAGTTATGATTTTAAGCCAACCCTCCCTCAACCCTCCTACCCCTGACTCCACAGCTCATTTCCTGAGCATAACAGCAGGAAGATGGAATGCTCAGAGAGAAGCAATGGGGGGAAAGCATGGCAACAGGAA